GAGATCCCTACAGACCAGGAGATCTTGCAACTGCATTTCAAGAAAAATTCTGCACTCAATGATGGCAAAACAAATGGCTTAAAGACCTAGAAGAAAAAAGACAAGGCCCCTCCGAATCTGTAGATTCTTACTATACAGATTTCAAGAAACTTATTAAACGAGTAGACCTTGAAGAAAACATGACAGATCTTCAGAAACTTCATCATTTTTTTAGAGGATTAAGATCCAAAGTTGCTTCTCTTGTGGCTATGAATGCATCTGCAGATGTTGCTGCAGCATTACAATTTGCTCAACAATACGAAAACGGCCAAGACCTTATTAACTATAAACAACCTATCAGAGCCAAACCAGAAAAGACTTTTGGATTTAAAAACAGAGAAACTTCTTGAGATTCCATGAATGATCTTGTTCAGAAGTTCGAAAAAATGCATCTAAAGCTTGTAGTACAAATTGAAGATATTTCCGCCAAAGTTGAAAGAAAAAGCAAGCCCTATTACAAGCCTGATATATTTAGGTCGCCATTAACATATACACCACAAAAAGATACAAGAACTTGCTTCAAGTGTGGCCAAGTAGGACATATTGCCCGGGACTGCTTATTTGAAAGACCCATACCCTCTTAACAATATCAATAACAAAACCGATATGTCAAGAAAGACAAACATGTAAACTATCTTACAATTGAAGATACTTTTGATGAAGAAGTATCCAGTGAAGAAGAAGAACTTGTATATGTGGGACAGAAAGCCAAACCACAACCCTATACTATCAATCGAAAAGAACAGAAAGAAAAAGTTAAACGATCAGAATCAGCAAAAGAATTTAAAATGCAATCAAAGAAGAATACTACTCAACCGATAGAAGTAGAAGATCCATTTGTCCATTATCAACCTCCTCTAGTACAACCTGTTTCATTCAAGACAAAGAAGCCCAAAATGAAATTCCAACCATCTGTGGTTAAGCAGCTTACACCATATGACGTTTCTGAAGACATTCTCAAGTTACCATCAAGTGCTACTGTGAGACAAATGCTTCAATACCCTAACCAACAAAAGCATCTTGTTAAGATCCTCAAGAGACCAAAGAAGACAGTTTAAACAAACTATCTACAATCAGAAAATGACTCCAGAAAAACTTCATCGGCTAAATGCTATATCAGAATCAAAGAAAATCCTGTGATCGTCATTCTTAATTCAGGAGCTGCTGTCAGTATTATCACGAACAAATTGATACACAAGTTAAGATTGGAACCAGATACTCTATCCAAAATGATTGTAGTCACTGCCAATGGAAACAGAGTCCATGCATTGGGCCAGATTACTAAAGTTCAAATCTGTATACAAGATCTGATCATCCTGATCAAGCTCCAAGTTATTGAATCTCAAGAGGAAACTCTTCTTTTGAGAATTGATTGGTTTCAAAAGATGAGGTCCAAGTGGGATTTTGATTTTCAAACCTTACAGATTCAACATCAGAACAAAACTGTCAAGATCATAACTACCCACTTCACTAATGAAACATCTCAGTACATCACAGATTCAGAAAACAGTGATGATGAACTTGAAGAAATTGAATATGATATATATATTGTTACAGGCTAATCATCTAACCCACATTACTTTTTGTCGCTTCTGTTTACAATAAGGTAAGTTTCTAACTCTTGAGATGTGTTTCCGATTTGGCCATTCTCTTACTTTAATTTCTCTACTGACTAGCCTAGAACCCATCCAATACCAAACCCCTTAAACAATCCTTGATTCTCTCTTGTAATCATGTAGCCCAAGTTACAGTTTACTTTGGCACATTAAATACAAGGTAAAAGTTTATCTGTTAAATGTTACTTTATTGTTTATTACTTAATACATTCTAACTCTCAACTCGACTTTCCTCTTCACATGCTACTGAATGGCATATGTATTTATACTGTACATGTGCCTGTTATTTATATGTTTACGTCTGATCGCTATTCTACACTACTCTAGAAATTTCCACCAATAAACTTTTCCATACCTAAACTTATCCATCTCTAACTTTTCCATCTCTAACTTTTTCCACCATCAATCTCATAACACTTTAATTATGTGACACGATGGTGTGTCATGTTATTGTGCCTACTTTTTATTTACAATTTTCCCTCGTGCCTATCTTATACACACCATGCATAAGACTTATTCTAATATTTCTATTTGTACTACTGGTTGGCAGCGGTGTGTTGGATGGTGTAATCTCTGATGATAGTAATATGTCAGTGTGATTACATGATAGGCGTGCCAATCTAACTTTCTTGATTTTTTCTTAGGCAATATTTCAACATCAAGCACTAGCACCAGGTCATGACAAAGTATACTCAAGAGTTGGTGGTATATTACAGGTAAGTATAATTTCTTTGCCTTGTTATCCAACATGTATGCTTCTCTTATAGTGATTAACTCTCCTGCACTTTGGTTATCCTTATACCTATTTTGTTTGATCGGAGTGTCATTATGAACAATGTATCGTATTGTCTCTGTGTTTCTGGATCCCTGTATGGTTCTTTTGTTCATCTCTATTGGCATGATGACATTTTGTTCCTTTGCTATTGTCTCCCTCGTCCTTTCCCCATACACTTCCATTGATTCCTCCCTTATTATGCGTCTTTGTACCATTGCTTCCCTCCTGCTTGTTATTGATATCGAACCTTCCAATCGCAATGCATTTGTAATGGGGTTTGAGATGTCTGATCATGATCTGATAGACAATTTTCTATTGCCAATTTTCTTCTTGTCTTTTACCATTGGCTCATTCTTCAAAGTGTTAGCCTTCTGGTTTTCTTTCTCAGATTTCTTTTCTATCAGTTTCTTTTCACTTTCTGATGGCAATGGCAGTCCTTCTGATTGCGATGTATCCTCGATAGGTGGCTTTTGCAGTCTATATTTTGGGATAAAGTATGAGGTAGATTTCATATCATCTGATTGTGGTTTTCTTTCTCTCATCAGCACCACCCTCGATGACTTATTTGGTTTCTTCTTTGTTTTATTTCTTCCTTGTCTTGTAGGTCTTGAGTTCAGTTTATTTTTGGTTTAAGCTTCACTGGTCCTTTTGTCATTCTTTATTGCTTTGCCATCTGCAACTTGTTTTCTGTTGTCAGACTTAAATGATAATGTCCACATACTTCTAATGGGTAAGGGTGTATTATTATTCTGTCCCTTCATTAGTTTTGGATTTATTTTGTATGGTTTAAACCCCATGTATTCTTCAACCCGCTCCACACTATCTATTACTTTATATATCATGGTGTCATTCTTAATAACAAGTGTTGATATAATATCTTTTCTCAACCTTCTTACAAATGTTCTCATCTATGCCTTCCAGATTTGACGCTATCAGGGTCGACTCTTCTTAGCAGATCCTGAAACTTACAAGCATATGATGCCACTTTCTTGTCCTTTTCTTGCTTTAGTTTTGCGAGCTCTGACAGCCACTGCTGTCGCTGCTCAAGTGTCACAAAGCATCAGAGGAAACTTGGCACAAAGCTTCTTTTGCACTTGCTTCTAATATTCCAATAGCAGAAGCAATCTTGGCACACTTTGTACCAGCCCATCGTGCATCTCTTCAGATAATAAGATACCTGTTCTAATTTTTCGTCACTCGTCTAATCATTGGCTTTTGCAACCTTCTCGTACAAATCTAGCCAGAAATACGGATCTTCTCTCTTCTTTCTACCAAATTTAGATATACAAACATTACGGGCTTCTTTTTTGCTTATTAGATTTTCAACAACATCTACCAACTCTTGTAAAACACTTCGTTGAAAGCCTTTTACATTGTTGTTTATTGTCATTGTTGATTATTAGACTTTTTCACAGGATTGTCATGGGTTGTTTCAGAAAAGATAAGTGCGTTTATGGTTTTGTTTGTTAATATGATCAATGTTTTTACTAATAGGATATTTAATTAATTTATCGGAGGGGAGGGGTAAATGAACGTCATTCTCAGTTGATATTTAAATCTTACGGTTTACCATTAAATTATTATGGGCTAACCGTCTAGCCCTTTACTGAAACCTATCAAATTCTGACAACCTGGTCATGTGATCGTCGCGATTTTGTGACTGAATCGTGGAGATTCAATCGTGATTTAATGGTTTTTACTATGTCGCAACCAAATCTCAGCCATTTAGTGGCGATTAAATCATCGTTTCAATGACGACATCGTCACCAACTCTTTTTAAAAAA